TGCATTATCTACGATTTGATCACAATATTATAAAGTTCTTAAAAATAAGCAGCAGCAGCACATTTGCACCGACCCAAAACGACTGCATTTAGGTTACTTGATTTGTTTAAGGTTAAAAAAAAAATAGAGTAATACTACATGAACTTAAAAAGTAAACTTAAAAATTAGATTTGATAATCTCAACCATTGATATCACTGTGGATGTCAGTATTTATTGGGACCCACTACCTATTCAATGGTTGAAATTATCAAATCTAATTTTTAAGTTCACGTAGCATTACTCAAAAAAAATATTAAAAACCACACGTCACCTAGACATCTCTATAACTGCTAACTATAAACTTCCAACTTAACCACCCCAAAAAAAAAAAAAAAAGAAACCTATAAACTTCCATTTTCATATGGTATAAATCTTGCCCACATCACACGGCTGCTATATATCGAAAAAAATAAAGAATGACATGTTTACATGTGGTCCAGTATTAAAATGGGCGGTGGTGGAGTTACTTGATCAATGTACGGCTGTAATGGGTTGGGCGACGATCCGAATGCAATTATTCACATATTGAATTACATGAATTTGAGCTCAAATATTTTATATATATCTTATTTTATGGAATCGAATTTAGATATTTAAAAGTTCTTTTTGACAGTGATTTGATTTGAGTTATATACACATATATAAGCATGCAATAAAACTGAATTATTTTTTATTAAATTGAACTGAAATATAAATATAATTTTCTAGTGGATTCAAATATGAACTGTAAAATTATATTCTGTTGAATAATCGAATCCAAATTTTTAAATGGATTTCTATTTTTGATTGTCAGAACTACGATCAGAATTCTGATCATAGTTCGACACAACTAATTGTTGTTCTATTAGTAACACAGTGAGTACTCCTCCTCCTCCTCCTCCGCTAAGAATGAAGACAAAGGGTTTGGTTTGGTTTTGGAATTAACCTAATTTTGGAGGTAGATAGAAGATAATGGAAGTTAATTGGGAATGGAATGCGTCATCTTCAACATTAAGGGGCACAAACAGACATGAAAGAGAGGAAGCTGAGTCATGAGATTGACCCTCCAAACTTCTGACTCAGCTCTGACTATGACTACGACCCGGCCTGTTCCTTGCTGTTGCCTTGGCTTCTTCTGGATAAAACGTGTGTGTCTGTATACATATCCCCACATCATGTATATATATGCACATGGCATGTAGCATGCGTCATGCATGGATGGCCATGGATTAAGGCGATATGGGGGTGTGTTTGGGAATCTGGTAGAATAGTTTTGGATTAATTACATTTTATTCCTCAACACTGTTCTTTAAACCCACTTGTCAGGTATTTTTTGGTTTAAATTTTACCACCAAGTGCTTTCGTTGTTCTAAAATAAGATGCCTATCCTGATGTGCATATTTAGATTATTTGGACCAATTAGAATGAGATTAACTTTTTTAAGGGTATGAGTCAAAGCAATAAGAAGAATGTTTTTAATAGAATATCCTTCACAATTCATAGAACTACCACAGATTTAAATAGTTAAATGTGTACTTTGTTCAAATAATATAGTTGAAGAGGCAAAGTAAAATAAAATAAATAGTTTAATGGGTCAAAATATAATTAACCACATAATTTTTGAATCAAGAAAAAGGCCAAGTTCGCTACCAGACATGAAGGCCCCATTACACGTCATTTACACATGGCTCCCCGTTGGAGTTTGAATTTGCACGACACCCGTGGGCATACGGATACAGATTCTGCTGCTGCTGCTGTTTCTCTCTGTCATTTTCATAGAAAACCTTCGAATATTTACAACCAAATCTTCTTTTGGACAAAAAAAAAAACTCTGTCTGAAGCATGCATGATTCCAAGAACTTACGCCATTTGATTGAGCGTATCTTTTAAAAACATTTTTGGGTTACCTAATGTACAGTTAATAAGTGATTTGTTGAAGATTTAGAAAATAGAATGTCACAAGTGTTAAGAAGAATTGGAAATCAGATTGCACATTGTCTGGCTAAGCCTAGGTTTGTTGATGATGCAATTATATGGATGGAGAAGGCACCAGACCGGACTTTTCAATGCTAGTTGATTGCCAATATATCTCGGTCCTAATTAATAAACTTTAACATCTGAAAGTTGTATTAATTGCATAACTAACTGTCTATCGTATTGTTTTGGAGTTATACCCACTGCATTAGGCTTTTCGATGTACAAGGTTGCTCATCTATTGCAAGGTATTAAACTGATAAGTGATAGATTATCGTACCCTTAATTCTTAATATAACGTAATCTCAATAAAAATTCATCGTCTCATTAATTGTTAATATAACATAATCTCAATAAAAAATCATCACATATAATCAAGGAAAAAATATATAATTATGAACACAAGTACCCTTTATCCCAAATCAACAATTTCTAAAGAATACTCAAGTAAACAATGTAAGTTGCTTGTGAAGATTCAGAACTTCTACAAGAAACTATAATCTTTGTATTTTTCCAATTTTTTGTTCCTTTAATATTATTGAGCTATTTACTTATAAACCCCAAGGGTTGTCTAGTGGAGACAAAAATGTGCTGTAAATTCAAATATTTTTAATTTAAAATTTGACAATTTATTCTCATTCTTTCCAATTCATTTATTTACTTTTATTAGAAAGAAAGATAAGAGATTTTGTGCCTGTTTTTAAAAGTTGAAAAAATGATTGTTAAAGGCTTGAATCCTAGAGAGAGAAAGTAAAATTTATCCTAAAACATCCTGCAACTCATCTTTAAAATTTTCCTTATCTATATTATACATTATAGAAAATTACTTAGAGGGGGAAGAAAGCTTGACGAGGCGCTTTTTTTTTTTTTTTTCTAAATTCTAAACTTTAGAATTTTTAAGATAAAAAATTATCTTTCATCAAGTCATAGTTCAAACATAACCAATTCCTTACTACTCTCAACAACTACTTTTTAAAATTCTCATTTTGTTTTTAACTTATCTTCTAATTTCTTAATTTTCATTCCCCCTTTTTTTTTCCAGGGAGAAAAATTTTAGGACGAAGGGAGATGGAAATCCATGCATCGCGTGTGTCTAATGCTCGTATACATTAATACATACATTTTCAACATACAAAGAAGAAAAAATATTAATTGGACCTGATTTAAGGACTTAATTTCAATGTTTAATCAACTAGAGCTGTTGAATTGAAATTGAGCCTCATGTAACATTAAAATTCACAATTAATCAAATAATTATATTGAATTCAGTACCTAATTAGGTCTCTAAATTAAGTCCTTATAAAATTGCTCAAAAATCTATATAATAAAGTAGTTAGATTGTTTGTTTTGAGCTTTTTGCGGCTTAAATCGTTTTGATCTGATGGTCTTAATTAAATTTTTATTCATTTTATAACTCTAAAACTCATATATCTTATATAACACACACTCTCTCTCTCTCTCATACTATTATCTTTTTTTTTGTTTGCCCTATGTTGTTTTTGTTATTATTTACTCCATAAAAATAAAATTACATGTTATACAATTATTTATTCCATGAAACTAATTTAAAATTTTTATATATCTGACAGAATATATTTCCCACTTATTTCTTAATTTGTCAATAATACTTAATGTAAATAAAAAATAGCACATTGATTATAAAATACTAAATAATATTCAACATGAAATGAACCTAAGATTGTAAATTAATACATAATTTTACCAAAAATTGATATTTAATTTGTCCAAGTTATATTCACCTTTATCGAATTAATATTGAAATTCATTTAATCAATTTGTTGGGTACTAAATCAAATTTTATTTGATTTTATTAAATTTTTTATTTTTTTGGTACTAAATTTAGAGAAGGACAATTGTAAAAATAATAAAAAATTTTGAAATAAAATTATCAATTTTCGCTTGTAATATTGATTGAAAGGGAGACATAGGGGATCTCTATACAATGAATTTCAAATTTTAGGGTGTCTCCATGTTATTTTTAAAATGTCTGGAAGTGTCTGTGTAATATTGCCAAAATTCAAGAGATGTCCAATATTATTACCCTGTTTTTTAATTAAATATTATTATATATTAAAAACTTGAATTACTACATTTCTAATAAAAATAATTATTGGTTAGGAGGGTTTATTAGTAACCAAAAAAGAAATGTGAGGGGTTTATTTCTGTTTATATTTATATGTAGAAGATTTGACATTTAATGATTAAATTTATAATTATATTGTATCATTTGGGGTTAAACGGTATAATGGTGATAAACTCATGAGTATTATAAATGAGTAAGATTTTGCTAATGAGTAAGATTTTGTTGATTTTATTTATCGTTTAAAGATTGTTAATTTAATTGTGTTTTGTTAGTTTTTTTTTTGTATTTATTTATTAGATAGGAATAGGGTAGATTGGAAATATGGTGGTTGGGTTTTTAATTATGTTGTATTATTGGGTTGAGTGGTAGTAGATATGATAAATTCGTAAGTTTTATAAATGAGTAAGATTTTATTTATTTCTTAAAAATTGTAAATTCAATGAGTTATATTAGTATTTTTTTTCAGAGGCATTTATATATATAGTGTTATTTTATAGAGTTTTTATATATTTTTATGACAGTTTCATTAATATGAAGGATATGATCGACAATATATTTCAAGTCATTTTGAAAAAAAAAATTTATGAATATTTTTAGATCATTTCTTTTGAATTTGGACAATTATTTAAAAAAATTTTGTTTATTATATAGTGCCTTTATGCACAGATAATGACTAGTAAGTTAATAATACAACTAGACATTTCTCTCTCTCTCTCACACACACACACATATGCATCAATTGTGGGGCACAACAAAACCATTAAATAGAACACGGATATTGGACTCTTGTACCCACTCAACACAATCATGGATTGGGCCCAGAACTGTTATCATGATCATTATTGAGAATGAGCTTGACCCCATTGTTCCTGAGGGCCACTAATCACAGGCCAAACCTTATCACTACTCTTGAGGCCCTTCTCTTTTGGATCTCTTTCTTAACATCCGCGAGAATCCCACGCGCCAGCCCCTGGTCGAGGCCTTCCACTTTTGAGTCTCATCGCCAGAACACCTCCGACGGCCGCCGCAGCCTAGCCGTTGCAGGTACGGCAGCTCTCCAATGCGTCCTTCAGCGCGTGCTCCACCGTCGCCACTATCCTCCCGTTGTTCCGGTCCACCACGTTGGCCGTTATGTATTTGAGGTATATGAATAACCTCAGACCATACCTCTTCATAACTGTCATCTTCCTACGATTCTTTCTCTCTGTCTCTGCGGTGTTAAACAATCCTTTGTGCTCAACAATTTTCGAAGCTGAAGGTTGGGAATGGGCTGGAAGATTTGTAATTTGGATAATTTAGAAGCTAGTATAAACTTATTTAAGTTAAACTAAAAATTTATTTGGCCCTAACTGTATTTTTTTCAAAAAAAACTGCAAAAAGATCATTTATTACTCTATTACTCCCTTTCCTTCTCTCTCTATTACTCTCTCACTCTCTCTTCCCTATTTTATCTCTATCTATCCCTTTATTTATCTCATATTGATAATTTTTTTTTTAAATATGTAAAGATTTGATTTAATTTTTTTATCTTTCTCACTCTCTCTACCTTTATTTCCTTATTTTCTCTATTTATATCAAGGTTACAATAACACAATTACATCAATCAGTTACAATTACCCTATAATTTAGTAAACACTTAAGCAGATGTTTTAATGAACCAAACACTTACACTAAATAATTATACAAAACTACAACACCAACATAATTTGTCATTCAATTATTTACATAAATTAAAGAGTTAAATCATTTGATATCATGATATGGTTACACAAATTATATGCGTCAAATTAGATTTATCATTACACAAAAGACTTTACCATTATATTAAATTTGATATATATAATTGGTATAACGATATTTTGATAATAAATTGTGTAACTATTTAGTTTATATAAACAATTGAATGACAAATTTTGTTGATGTCATAATTTTGTGTAATTGTTTGGTTTGTTAGAACACATGAGTAATTGTTTAGTGTATTATAAGACAATTGTAACTGATTAGTGTAATTGTGTTACTGTAATGTTGATATAAACAAAGAGAGAAACGGTGAGAAAATAGGGGAGAGAGAAAAAAAATATGGGATAGAAATGAAAAAATAAATCAAATCTTTACATATTTGAAAAAAAAAATTATCAATAATAGAAAGAGAGAAAAAATAAGGGAGAGTAACGGAGAGAGGTAAAGAGAAAATAGGGAAAAGACAGCGAGAGAGTAATAAAGAGAGGGAGAGAAAAAGATTGAGAGAAAATAGGAGAGAGACGGATAGAGAGAATAAAAATTATCATAATTTAAGGAAGAATAAGTAAGTACAAAATTTTAAATGTTATTTGAATTTTATACCTAATCACAAGTTTTATTAAAAGTGAACTTAATAGAGTAAAATACGTATTTATACACTTTCTCTCAAATAAGTCTAAAAAAATATACCCACGCCCAATAAAATCCTTATAATTTTGATCAAGAATTGAAATCTTAATCAGATCGAATTCAAACTAAAATCCCAATTCGTTGACAGACTTGCCCACAAATCAATCAACCATACAATATGGACCGAGAAATCAAGTACAAACTATTCCATGGATCGGGTTGATCTAGTCTGTAAAAATGCGATTTTTTTTATCATTTAGGATAATTTTAAAACAAAATTATTAACTTGTGGCACTCTTAATCTGATCTATTAAAGAATAAGTTCATCCACACCCTCCATAGTTGGACATATGTTCAGAGAAATCCCCCTATATTTTAAAATTTCAGTGACACCCATTTTTGTTACTACTTTCACTTTACCTACACCCCTATGATTAACGGCCGTTCTTGACTAACTTGGCCAAAAATTCTTCAAAAATTTCAAATTTACCCTTCCATATATATTAAAAAAAAAAACTAAAATGCCCCTGCTTACATGAATTATGATGTTTTGAATCTCAATGAAATGACAAGTCCAAAATCACAATTTCATTTGAGCATGACAATAACAATAGTTACAAATTTGAAAAAAGGTAAAACAATTTTGACTAAAGCATAAAGCATTGGTTATGGAGGCACGGTGGTGGATGGAAACCAAAAAAAAAAAAAAAAAGTCCTCTCTACCATATAAAAAGAACAAATCATCTTCGATAAATTAAAAAAAAAAAAAACAAACCACACTAGGCTCATAATATATGAAAAATATAATAAGCAAACCATCTTAATTACTGATTCAAACAAAAGAATAAATTCAATCACTAGAAATAAAAAAAAATTGAAAGTAAATTAGAATTGATTGAAATGCAAACAAAAAGATGAATCAAACCTAAAATATCTCATGGGCATTTTAGTAAAATCAAAATCTTTGTTAACGCTGTTAGTAGACATTATCTGACAAGGAGTGTCAAAGAAGTTTCAAAATATAAAAGATGTGTCTCTAAAGATATGGATAACATATATGAAGAGTCCTCAGCATGTTGTTTATCTAAAACCTTTCTTATTTTGTTTATTGGAAACAAGAAACAAGAAAAAATAATTGAAGTGAGTTATTCCGAGGAAACTCAGACCTCCAAGGACACCAATAGGTGCTAATAATTCTGAATGGAAGATGATTTCTTTATTGTTTATAACTTTATTTATACATTAAGCCTCCATACTCAAATGCCAAAAAATAAGAACTACTCAACAACTTATACTCAAAACTAACTACAAAAGATTTGGACTTCCAATCCCATAAAATCAGGAAACCAAAACAGACTTATTCAACTTAACATAAGACTCCTAAGATAATGGCCCACTACGTTGCTATAGTTGTAACATTCCTTCCCCCTTAATTTTGGCCCTTGTCCTCAAGGGCATAGTCTAGAAATTGCTACTTCATTTGATGCAAATCTTCCCACGTCGCTTCTGCAACAGAGAGCCCTTGCCAGTGGACTAATATCTGTTTCCTTCTTTTTATCACCCGATTATCCAAAATTGCTTGCAGCCTTGGCAAAAGAGTGTCATTTTCTTCACTGACTTGTGGCAATAGCGGCTGCACCAAGATTCTTTCTCCGATCTTTTTCTTAAGTAAGGAAACATGGAATATTGGGTGGATACGAGACTCCGTTGGTAGCTCCAACTTGTATGCCACAGGTCCAATTTTTTTCAAAACTTGAAAAGGTCCATAGTACTGTGGAGAAAGCTTGTGATTTCTTTTCATAGACAAAGAAACTTGCCTGTATGGTTGTAGCCTCAAATAAACCCAATCTCCTTCTTCGAATGCTATCTCTTGATGGCGAGAATCATAAACCCGTTTGATTCTGGCTTTGGGCTTCTGCAAGATTTTTTTGGAGATCCTTGAAAATCCTATCATAGTCTCACAACTCTTGCTCTACTGCAGCTACCTTGACAGTCCCTGGCATATATGATAATAAGGTCAGAGGCAGTTTTCCATACACAGCTTCGAAATGAGTTTTCTGTGTAGCCGAATGTCAACTTGTGTTATAATAGTATTCTGCCCATGACAACCATTTAACCCAACTCTTGGGTTGAGAACTCGTGAGACACCTCAAATACATTTCTAAGGTGCGATTAACTACTTCGTTCTGGCCGTCAGTTTGAGGGTGGTAGACGGAGCTGAAGTTGAAGCTAGTTCCGTCCAAACGAAATAACTTAAGCCAGAAAGTAATTGTGAACATCGGATACCTGTCATAGATAATTGTTCTTGGCAGCCCATGATACTTGAATACATGATCAAAGAAAGCTTGAGCAATACTAGATGTTGTATAAGGATGAGTAATAAGAATGAAATGTGCGCATTTTGTGAATCGATCTATCACTACCATTATAGTTGATTTGCCTTTGGAATTTGGCAAACCATCTATGAAATCCATAGAGATATCCTCCCATACTTGAGTAGGAATAGGTAGAGGTTGAAGAAGACCGGTTGGGGAAAGTTACTCAACCTTGTGTCGCTGACATGTATCACACCCCTTAATGAATTCCATGATTTGGGGCCCCATACCCTTCCAATAAAAATTAGATCCGATTCTATGGAGAGTTTTTTGGAAACCTTCATGGAAGTTGTTGTGGAATTGACCAATAATTTCTTGATTAAGGGGAGTCATCTGCAAGATATATCCTTTCCTCGAACAATATTATGCCATCTTAATATCTCCACGGACCCACTGCTTCCCTCTCCTCAATTAACTTCACCAAACTTTGCAAATCAGAATTTGAAATAAGTTCCTCCGTAATTATCTCAATCCAATTGGGAATAGAATGAGAAAGTGCTGCCAATTCACCCATTTCTTCTCTTCTGGACAATGAATTAGTTACAACATTTTCTTTTGCTCTTTTGTACTCAATGATGAAGTCAACCCCCATTAGCTTATACAACCACCTTTGTTGAGCTATGGTTGAAATTTTCTGGGACCATAAGAACTGGAGACTCCTTTGACCTGTTTGCACAATAAACTAGTGACCCAACAAGTAGGGATGCCATTTTTGTATTGCTAGTACCAATGCCAAAATTTCCTTCTCATATGTGGACAACAACAAATGTTTCCCATGTAACGCTCGGCTATAGAAAGCAAAAGGTCGTTCTTGCATTAACACTGTTCCTACACCAGACCCAGATGCATCACACTCCACAATAATTTTTTTTGAGAAATCTGGAAGAGCTAAGACTGTTGCCTTTGTCATTGCCTCCTTCAATTTCTTGAAAGCTGCCTTTGCGATTGGATTCCAAGAAAATGAGTTATTTTTTAATATTCGGTTAAGAGGGGCTGCTATCTTTCCATAATCTTGAATAAACTCCCATAGTATCCAGTCAACCCATGAAATCCACGCATTGCCTTCACTGAGCTTGGTTTTTGCCACTCCACCATGACTTCAACCTCCTCAACTTCCACTATGACCCTTGCCTCTGAGATGACGTGCCCCAGATATTTGACTTCCTTCTATCCAAACTGGCATTCTTCTTTTTTAACAAATAGCTGGTGAGACATGAGAATTGAGAAGGTGGTCTCTAGATGATAAAGGTGTTCATCCCAAGACTTGCTATAGATTAAAATATCATCAAAAAACACAAGAACAAATTTTCTCAAATATTCCTTAAATACCTAATTCATCAATGCTTGAAACGTGGATGGTGCATTAGTGGACCGAACGGCATCACTGAAAATTCGTAATGGCCCTGATGTGTTTTGAATGCCGTCTTTGGAATGTCTTTTAGA